GCTCGTAGCAGTACTTGCTCGGTTTTCGTTGGTTATTTAAAAATAGCCTGGCCTTGTATGCATAGACTGGTTGGCTTCAACAGGATAGTCATAAAAACATACCCGACACTGTGCTCCTTGCTACTCAAGTCGGGTGGTTTTCCCGGACCGTTGACCGGATATACTTACCTACGTTTATCCGACAACGAAATCAGTATCGTTGGTGAGAAGAAGAAGGTTTAGAGCAAAGATACAACCTGGCATTGACACGTGAGATCACAATCCTTGAGCAAGACTCTTTTAAACGATCATGAATGTGCCATCTCTCCTCTTATTTCCTAACGCCTGACTGGCATCTCTCCATATTTTCACATCATATGACTCCCAATTGTTTGCAGCCTCTTTTGTTCCCATAAAAGGAGGTGGGTTTGTTTGAGGAACTATTCAAAATCACTTGCCAGTCAGTCGGGCCTCATCTCCCTCAGGCAAGTCAGAACAGAAGAGTCAGATGATCTCTGCTCGCTCTTGCCTTAGCCATGAAGTACGGCCGTTCCGGACGTGAAACCGCCCTAAGCAGAAGTCTGAGTAAGTTTGGTTGTAGGCGCAAGACGAGTCACTTAAAATTGTTTATAAAAAGCCTCATGAAGTTTGAGATAGCAAATCATATGATATAAAAAAGGCAGCAAACTGCTTACTTAAAGCTCCATTGAGGACCAACTTTTTGAAGGATTCCCTATGGTCGCGGGGAAGTTTGAAATTGAAGGTAAGACAGACCGATCGGTCTATCGGGTGACTTGTCAACCGGGCAAATAATCTGACAGAAGGAAGCAGAGTCAAGCTGGTGTTGTCCAAAGTGTCAAAGTTGATACGGCCCAAAGGTCCTGTGTTTGGTGATATCGTCTTCAAAAATAGCTGGAAGTGTTGATCAAGGGTCGACAGGAACGAGGAGCGAGGTCGGACAGTTCTCGAGCCAGCAACATTGCCGCTGCCTCCTTCTCGTGGACCGTCAATTAGTGGCGAGTAAGCGTTGGATAAGGTTGGTTTTTGCCTCAGTGACCCGTCCGGACTTGTGAGTCGGGGCGGAAAGACGTCCAGGACGACTCGACCAGGTGCCAACGACGGCTGGCTATTTTGGCTAAAGCAATAATACACGAAAAAATTACTACAAGTTTTCGA